CCCCATTGTGTGTGTGTGAGGAGATCCCGGTGTGTGTGTGAGGAGACCCCGGTGTGTATGTGAGGAGACCCCAGTGTGTGTGTGACTGGGGCGGGAAGCTCCCCATAGGGAGACTGGAGCCGGCCTGGGGGGATCCGGGAGACGGGAAGGGCCCCGCCTCCGTTCCAGGTGGCTCTGGGTGTGGGACTGCTGGCCCAGGGACTGGTGCTCCTCTTTAGTGATGGGGAGGAACGCGCTGGCCTGGCTGAGGGAGCAGGGCAGGTGTAAGAAGGCGTGTGGGAGAAGGGCGAAGAGGAGGGAGGAGGCACTTATTTCAGGCCTTCTGTTCAGAGCACGCAGGTTCAGAGGCTTCCTTTTGGGATAGTTTGACTAAATCTGACAGGACTTTCTGGTTACGTCTGAGTAAACTAACTTATATCCTAGGAAACTGGAGAACAATGACCTACCTGAAGACAGCGCCACAGTTCTGAGGGAGGCCTGTGCACGTTTACGTTGTTACAACCACCAGCGCTCTCCTTCGGTCAGAGAGGAAGAGTAAGTGTTCACGGTTTTCCAGTTTCATATTGTGTAATCAGTGCACAAAATCTGGTGACTACAGGAGAATGCGACAGTGAATTAAGCAGCAGCCGTAGTCACCCAGCTGAGGGGCGGCCGTCGTGGCCGTTTTGGTGTGTTTCCCTCTGGTCACTTTTGTGCTGAGGTTTGCACCGTCTGCAGCCCGTGGGAGGTCGGCTTCACGCCACACTCTGAGAAGTCAGATTTGACTTCTAACCACGAGTACTTTTCAGTTATTACGACATCTTACTGCTTTCGGGATAGATGCGTTTCCGCAGGTGTGAGAACAAACGTTCCCTGAGCGCTCATTTTTTTGGTTCTCTGCATCCCTGAATCCTCTGTCCTGGGTCAGATTCCCAGGCGCTGGTGGCTGAGCCAGAGGCACCAGAAAGATCCAGAATGTTCACCCCCACAAGGTGGCGGCTTTGCTTCCCAGCCAGCAGCTGTTTCTCCCTTTTTCATGAGCATTTATTCAAGAGAATGGAAGAAAAACCTGTTGCTGTGGTGGCTGAAATGGCCTCACTGCTTTGGTCTCATCTGCGAGCCTCCGTCGCCAGTGAGCGTGCTGTTCAGCCCTGTCTGGGGCTGCTGAACCGCCTCCCTGGGACCTTGTTCCTCTGAGTTTGCAATGATTTCCTCATCGGCTTCTCCGTGCTCCTAGCGAATGGAGCACCTCTGCCCTTTGCCTATAACAATTGTTCTGGATATTTTTTCAGTTTGTCATTTGATAGTTGATTTGGGGGTATTGTGGGCTGGATTTGGTCCCCCAAAAGACATGCTCAGCCTAACTCCCTCATGCCTGTGAGCGTGGCCTTACTTGGAAACAGGGCCTGTGCCGATGCAGGTGTAATTAGTTAATGCAGTCAGACAAGATTCGGGGGGCCCCTCTCCAGCGACTTCTGTCCTTAAAGAAAGGTGGGAATCTGGAACACAGAAACTCGTGGGGGTGAAGACCACGTGGTGATGGAGGCAGAGACTGGAGGGCATAGCTGCCTGGCAGGGACTCAGGGACGCTGGCCACACCGGAAGCTGGATGAGACAGGCGTGTCCTCCTCTCCACGCAGCCCTGCCCTCCCTGATTCAGGCTCCTGGCCTCTAGATTTGTTACTTGAGCCACCCAGTTTGCGGTCACTTGTCCCAGCGGCCCCAGGACACCTGCACAGGGTGTGTGTTAATGATCTTCGCTACTGGGGGGGTTTCCACAGACGGAGTGGCTTAAAGCAGCACGTGTCGATTATGTCGCTGTGTCCCTGAGGTAGGCATCTGGCACGGCGGCCACCAAGGTGTCACAGGCTGTGGTCTCTCCGAGGCTGGGCCAGGGTGGTATCAGCTTACTTACCTGAGCCTACAAGGCACTGGCTCGGGGGAGTCAGAGCTGTTTGTGGACTGGTCAGGGGGGTGGCCTCCTGTTGGGTAGAAGTGAGTCAGCAGAGGGGAGGGGTGGCATGGACTGTGACACCAGGACGCAAGGTCACGGGACTTGAGGTGGTGACAGGGATATGTGAAGATCTCTCATGTTTGACTGTTATGTCACCTGGGGTTCCTCCATGCGGATTTCGTGGACCAGGGGTTGCACATATACATATTTTTTAAATGACTTTTATCATTTTTTCTCCTTTCAAATGTAGTATGTACTTATTGTAGAAAGTTTGAAAAATGACATCAACATGTATTTTCAAAATTATTATCACAGTTTTTAACCTGCTTTTTCCACAAACACTGTGGACGTCTTCCTGCATCATGAAATATCGTACAACTAGGCTCCTAACAGGGTTTCCAGGTGGTGGGGGAGGGGGGTCACGGGTGGGTCACAGCGCTCCGGGTGCAGGACACACACAGACGGCGCGTGTGGGCAGGTGTGCTGTCCTGGGCGGAGCCTCAGTTCTGCCTTCAGAGTCTCTGACCTGTTCTAACTGGGAGCAGGCCGCGCGGGCCTCCATCTCCAGCAGCCCCGGCTGGGGTTCCAGAAGTGACTCTGGGGACAGACCTGTGTGGCCTGAGCCAGCTAAGCACACAGCAGGCCGTGTGTCCTGCCACCTCATTCTGCCGGAGTCCTCCGCCTGCAGGTGATGTGGAATGTTTTTTTGCAGTTTTGTTTCCTTCCATTAATTTCCCAGTCATTTCTTTTGCGGAGTTTTTAAACAACTCAGTCACCCAGAGGGGGCGGGGCAGGGCTGCATGCCTAAGAAGAGCTGACAATATGCGGTCAGTGTGGTTCTGCCCCAGTGAGACCAGACCCCCACCTGGGAAAGGGCAGGGAGGCGACAGCTTGCCCCCTGGAGAGGCTGGCGTGTCCGGGGCCACTGTTGGCGCTTGTGGGTCTGCCCACCCTGCGCAGAATGGCCTCCTCCAGGTCGTCAGCGTGCCCAGGCTGAGGAGCCCGGCCAGCCTCCCATCAGGGCCTTGGGTTCTGTGGTTCTGTGTTAAGCCCTGGAGTCCGGCAGTTTGTGCTCCGACTCCGTTCTTCTGCAAAGTTCCTTCGGCGTCACGGGCCCTCTCACTTCTGAACAGGTGTTGGTGTCAGACTTGATTCCACTAAGGCCCGGCTGGTGACCGCGGTTGTCGTGGGGAAGGAGGCGCCGGCGTCAGGTCGCGAGATGCAGGGCTGGTCCCTCGGTGCCGCTTCGGCTCCTGGCACCCCCCCGCCCCTGCACCGGCCCGAGGTCGGGGCTTCCCCGCAGTCCTGTGTCGGCTGGGGGTGGAGGACGGCCTGGCGGCTCCTGCCTCTGCCCGAGGGGCGGCTGGACGCTTTTTCTGACCGGGAGATGCTTCTTATCACACCGTTGACCCAATGCTGTTTTGTTTGTTTCCAGAATTCTTTTGCTTTTTGAATTAGCTCATCTTTCCCTGATCTTGAAATGTGAGGAGGTCGCGTCTCACTGCCTCTCAGACTTGAAGAAAATGGACAGCAAAGTAAGTGGTCAGTGACTGTGGAGGCGCCTCGCCTGCTCGCTGCGGCCTGGGCCAAGGGGCAGGGCGCCGGGAGCCCTCACCGCGGGCCTGGCCCGTGCTGCTGCTGCTGGTAGGGCCCCTCCCCGCCTTGGCCCCTGCGGGGAGCTCACAGGCAGGATTCCTCGGGAATCCTCACTTCTAAGGTGTTCAGCACACGTCACAGTGCTGCCCTCCAAAGGGACTTTGTATTCCCACCCAGAGTCTCCAGGAGCACGTGAGCGTTCGGGACGCGGGACACGGCGTGGGACGGACGCCGTGGCTGGGAGGTGGCGCGTTCGCCACCCCTGCCGCTCCGGGGCCCACAGCGCGGCCCCGCACAGCCAGCGGTGGGGCGGGAGCGGCTGGCTGGGCCGTGGTCGGGCTGCTCCGGCAGGCTCTGGGCCCGGGCAGCCCTGGCCCGGGGAGCGGACGGTGCGCACAGGCTGGGGAGCGCTTCGTGGAGCCCTTCCCCGCTTCTGGTTCCCTGACCCTGTGGCCCAGACTTGCATGGGAGTCCCAGCTGCCTCCGCTGCTGCCCAGCTGGGCGATGGCCCTCGGAGCCCAGTTTTCCCTCTAAAAACGGCAGCGGTGACGAGACCTCCTCCCCTGGTCGCTGTAGGAGATGCAGCTTTGCATGTTGCCCGGTGACCCCCCATCGCAGCCGCCTGCGGGCCCCCGAAGGAGGCTTGCGCAGAGGCCTGGGGCTCCCACCAGCCTGGTGTTAAGGACACACCCCCGGCTCTTCACCCCACGGGTCCCTGCCCAGCCTCCGGCCCCAGCTCAGATGTCACCTCCCCTGGGGCCACCCACAGGAAATGACCTCCTGCGGCTGGTGTCACGTCGCCCTGGCCTCGCTGCCCACCCTGGTGTCATGGTCTGGCGCTGGGATAGCCTGTCTTTGGTGTCTGTGGAAGCAGCTAGCTCCAGTTGTTTTTCACTGAAGCTTTTTAAACTCGAATGCAGAGAGTTCAGTGAGCTGCACCTCTGAGCTCACCTCCCTCGCTGGTCCATCCTGATCCAGTCAGTATTTACCGGTCTTAGATTCTGGAAACATTCTGTGCATACTTGAAGAGGACGTTTTTATCTTTGAAGTGAAGGGTTCTGTGTGTATTCGTTAAATGGCACTTCAGTGTCTCTTGGTTCAGGTTTTTACGTCCTCACTCAGTTTTGTGTCGCTCTGTTGATTTCTGTGAGAAGTGTTCCCAGTCTCTCTACAGGCATGGCTATCCCAGGTCTTACTCCGCACATCTGCCATTTCTTCTCGTACCTTGCTTCTTCTGGGTTTGGAATTGTTCCTGGTGAAATGTATCTTCCTGGCCGGTTGCTAGTTAATGACCACGTCTTGACCCCCTTTATGGCCACGTCTTGACCCTCTTTCTTTACGGCTGATAATGTTGTTCTGCTTGTTTACTGTTGGTTCTCCTAGGAGAGACCGTCTGGTCTGTCACTGTCATGGCCCCACTGCCTGGCGCGGTGCTCAGCAAGTATGTGTTGAACAGAATGGGCACGTTAAGGTCATCACAGTCCCTTCAAAGTGGCTGTGCCTAGGGGTTCAGGGTTTGCCAGCTGTCTCCTTGTCGAGTGTCCCTGCCTGATGGCCACATGGTGGGGAAGTCCAAGGGCCAGTCACTCCCAGTGGATCAGTGTGGAGAGACATCAATCCAGAAGGAAGAGGTGTAATCAGGAAAAAAAATGCCCGTGAGGCAGAGTTAGGTTTCCAACACTGACTGGTAATATCTGGAATGCTGAACAAAAATAAAGCAAAAGCAAACATGGAGTGAAATATGCTCGTTCAGAAATAAGTGACCCTTTTCTCAAAGCGGGGGATAATATGAAAGTGGCGCAGTGAGAAGGTAAATGGACGTGTGCTCCTGGCCGAGAGTAGAAGGGACCACGTTCACCCTCAAGCCTGGGATGACCGGAAAACAAACAAAATGCATGAAACGATACTTTTCAAGACACTGAACAACAGATAGTGATGGAAAGTGAAAACCGAGAAGTAGGGAACAAGTCGGGTGCGACACCCAGCTTACTGCTAGGAGAGCGTGCGGACTCAGCAGACAGGAAGGCGCGGGGGGCCTGCTGCTCTGCCTGAACTCGGGGCAGAGCTGGGAGCCGGGCGTGCAGGGCAGCCGCAGCTCACGGGGAAGAGGCCCCGGCAGGCCTGAACTGCGCCACGTGAGCGGGACCGCCTGGAAGAACACGAGGGACAACCTTCAGAGGCCGCACGGGGCTGAGATGGTCCCTGGGTGGAATTCAAAGAAGAGCAGGCCTAGACCCTGCCCTTGTGTCCTCTTGGCACACACCCATGTCACACTCTGCATCCCACTGTGCCAGCCGGCGCCCAGGATCCCACAGCTGCTGTTGCTCTGCAAGCGCCCACACCCAGCTCCTCGGCCCTGCGGCTGCTCCATGACTGCCTGCGCTTCAGACGCCAGGGCTCAGGTGCCCGCAGGCTTGCTTTATGCCAGGAGAGATCCCCACGGCCGTGACATACCCGTGGGAGGGGGTGATCACGAGGCCCAGCAGCCTTCATCTGGACCAGAGGTCCCAGCAGACCTCGCTACCGCTACAGAAACCAGCCTTGGCTGTTGAGGAGCCCCGCGATCTCGGCTAATGAAGACCTCCACTGATGGAGCTGCATGGAGACTGAGCCCAAACCCCTGCCTAGGGCCACAGCTGCCACACCCCACCCAGCTGGCACCCTGGCACCCACCCACAGGGGAAGGTCTTCCCCACTGAAACCAGACCGGAAGAGGTGGCTGCTTCATCAGATACACAGACATCAGCACAAGAAACACAAAAACTCGAGGAAACATGACACCACCAAAGGAGCACAAGTTTTCGTAAGCTACTCCAAAGAAATGGAGATCTTGCCAAAGAATTCCACGTAATTGCTTTAAGGAAGCTCAGTGAGCTACAAGATAACACAGATACACAGCTCTATGAAATCAGGAAACCAAATGTGAACAGAATGAGAAAGCTAACAGAGAAATAAATAATAAAAAAGAACCAAGTAGAAATTCTGGGGGTGAAGAATACAGTGAACAAAATGAAAAATGCAACAAAGCATCATTAGCCGACTTGACCAAGCAGAAGAAGGGATGCGTCTGGGAAGACTAACATCCACGTGCAGGTGGATGAAACTGCACCCCTCCTCTGCGCTACTCACAGACGTTGACTTGCAGTGGATTAAGACTCTACGACCTGAAACCGCAAAACTCCTGGAAGAACACATAGGGGAAAAGCTTACTGACAGTGGTCTGGGCGATGATTTTTTGAATATGACAACAAAAGCAAAAACAAACAAGTAGGACTACACCAAACTAGAAAGCTTCTACCCAGCCAAGGAGACACCCACTGCCTCGAAAGACAGTGGTGTTCAGCCATGAGAAAGAGGGACACTTTGCTCTTGGCAACAACATGAATGAATATGGAAAGCATTATGCTCAGTGAAAGAAGCCAGAGAGAGAAACAGAGCAGAACAGTGGTGGCCGCCAGGGCCAGAGGGCGCAGGGAGTGGGGAGAGGTTGATCAGAAGTCATAAACTTTTGGTTTTAAGATGAGTAGGTTCTGAGGAGCTAATGTACAGTTTGGTGACTGTGGTTAATAGTACAGGGTCATGTACTTGAAATTTGGTAAGACAGCAGATCTTAAACATTCTCACCAGAAGGAAGAAGCAGGCACAATGTGGGGTGATGGTATTAATGTGTTTGATTATGGGAACCGTTTCACGATGTGTATACTTCACACATTTACACTTCAGATTTACACTTTTTTGTCAATTATACCTCAATTAAAATTTTTACATAAAAATAAAGCAGAGTAGACATTTCAGAAAAAAAAATCAGCCATTTACAAACTCCAAAATTAGACAATGGAGAAACACTAGGAGTATACAGAGCTTCAGTGAGCTGGGGACAGCTTCAAGCAGACTAATATACGTGTCATTGGAGTCCCTGAAGGAGAGAGGAGAAAGGAGGGAGCAGAAAGAACATTTTAGGAAATAATGTCTCAAGGGAGCTCAGTGGTAGGGAGTGTGTTTAGCGTACACAAGGTCCTGGGCTCAATCCCCAGTGCCTGCATGAGAAATGATAAATGTATAACTTAAAAAAAGGAAAAAATGTTTTAAAAAAAAGAAAGAATGGCTCAAAATTCTAAATTTGATGATCTTTAGAGGAGGGAGATGACATTACTGGGGAACAAAGAATGACAGCAGACCTTTCGCTGAAAACCATACAAACCAAAAGACATAAGATCAACATTCTTGAAATACTAGCATTAAAAAACCGTCAACCTAGAAATGTGCACGCAGAGCAGATACCTTTCAAAATCAGAGGCAAAACAAGTATTTATTAAAATGTACAGAATCTGAAAGAGTCTGACTCTACAAGAAACTGTAATGGGAGCCCTTCCGGCAGGAGGGGATGAGCAGATGGGACTCTGGGGCACACAGCGTGGTGCGGAGCGCCAGGGAGGGGCCGCGTAAGCGAACAGACTGAAAATCTGTAAATCCCTTGAAAGATGGCTGGTTATTTAAAGCAAAGATAATAACACGGATCAAAAGACTCAATATTATTAACATGCCAGTTTTCTCCAGACTGAACAATGGATTCGACGCGCTCCCCATCAAAACCCCAGCAGGAATGTTTCAGAAATTGGCAAAATGAACATAAAATTTATATGGAAATGCAAAGGATCTAAAACAGCTAAAAGCAACTTTGAAAAAGCAGAACGACGTCAGAAGACGTGCACAACCTGAGTTGAGGGCATGAAGGAAAGACCTTGGGGTTAGGACAGGGTGAAGGGTCGCAGGGGCCGAGGGGATGGAAGACAGTCCAGAAACAGACCTGCAAACATAGGGCCACTCGGTCTGTGATGGGTGCAGAGGCATTCAGTGAATGACAGAGCATCTTGTGAACGATGGTTCCAGACAGGGCAACAACCACATGCGAAAAATGAACATTGGCCTGAACCTCACACCATAGACAGAAATGAACTCAAACTGTGTCAGAGACCAAAGCGTTAGAGCTAAGACTATTCAACTTCTGGGGGAGAAACGTCAAGAGGAGAAGCGTGAAAGAAATCCCTGAGACCTGTCGTCTCATAGCCACACGCCTGGTTGCGGCTCACCAAAGACCAACCATCCCAGACCCGGGCAGGGACCAGGGGGACGGGCACCCCACGCGGAGGGATGGAAACTGTGGCCCCTGGGGAAAACGGACCAGCAGCTTTGTGAGAAGTCAAGCACAGCCCCCCCAGCGCCCCCCCCCGCCCCAGACAGCAAGCCCCAGGCCCCTGCTGCTCCGCACCCGCTGCCTCCAGCAGGGCCCCCGGCCTGACCCTGGCAGGGATGAAGGAACAGAAAGTCTTTGCCAAAATTCTTAACAGAACATTTATCTGAAGTTGGTCTAATTACTTAAAAAGTCAATGTCCAGTGAAATTATCTTTCCCCTACTCCTCAAAAAGATTTTTTAAAGTTGTTTTTAGCTCTCTCATTTAAATCTTTGCATCTTCTGGAAACATTTAAGTTTTTCATGTGTATTTGTATTATATGTGTTGCTGAATCTCTGGCACGTTGATTATATTTGAAAGCAGTCTTTGAAGCTGACGCATGTGCATGGTTGCTTTCATTAAAACTCTGCACCTTCACACCCGCTGTGTTCTGCAGGACCCTGGGAAGCTGATTGAAATGGAGTGTCTGGAGTATGAAATACAAGCCTTAAGACTTGAAAATAAAATTAAAGTCTACGCCCGAGAGGCTGTGGAGGTAAGTCCTTGAGCAGGAGCCACGGCAGACGCCGAGCTGCTGTGCGGGCACCCGGGAAGTTGGGAGAGCTGGGTCGGTGCCCATTTTGAGGTTAGGGGGACAGGATGGGCCATGACTAGCCTCCTGGGCCACAGTTTCCCACAGTGACCGTGGCCTCTCTGGCGGGACCTCCAGGCCGGCTGCCGTCCGCCTCCACAGCACCGAGCCAGGTCCCCCGGGGCTCCCAGGGTGTGGGGCTGGGATGAGACGGTTCTCTGGCCAAGCCCTCCTGCAGCCTCCGCAGAGCTGCCCCCGCCCCCGCCCAGCACACTGATAACAGCTGCCCTGGTGAACACTGAGCCCCCACCAGGGCTCTCTGTCACCCTGACTCGTGTCCCAGAAGTCAGAAGTCGCCTCTGCTGTAGCGCCCGGCTGTCCGCCTCCCTGGGCTTAGGAACCTCAGGGTCTCTGGGGAAGTGGTGAGGGCTTCACGAGGGATGGGGGCAGGTGAGGATCAGAGTGGGTGGAGAAGGGGACCTCCTAGGGATGTGGGGGGAGGCAGGTCCTGAGGACCCGTGGGAGTATTCCCCCCTTGGTGCCGTTTGGAAAGCGCAGACTTGTTCCGGAGGCCCGCTGGTAGGTGGAGAGGACAGCTGTCTTTCTGACGAGGCCGCTTACGGCAGCCTTGTGGACGGGATGGCAGAGCGGCAGACGCGAGCTCAGCACCGCCCCGTGTCTGTGTGATGCCGTCAGGTCTGGACCAGCCGCCACTGCCAGGGAGTCCAGCCATCATTTTAGACTGTTCTTTAATGAGAATTCTGCCATTGAAAAAAGGAACCATGAGACACTGATACAGAGTAAAGGCAGCTAGCGTTGCTTTGGGGCCAAGGCAGGCAGCCCTGGGTCAGTCCCGGCCCCCAGCAGCCCTGCAGCTTGGCTGCCCTGCCCCATGTCGCCCCCTGGCCTGGGGGAGCCGGGCAGCGTCTGCGCCGTCCACTCTGCCGGGAGACAAGCAGCGGGGCTCTGTCCCCCACCTCAGGGCTCTGTTGGCAGAATTGGGCCCCTGGCATCCCTGCGGGGCCCTGAGCACCTGCAGGTGCGGGTTTGTGAGCACAACCCGAGCTGCCCCTGTGGCTCAGGAGCAGCGCAAGGGGAGGCCCCGTGGGCTCTGAGGGAGCGGAGCTGATGATGCCGTGCCACAGGCCCTGATGCTGCCCGCGCCCGTCTGCAGCCTGGAAACACTCTCTGGGCGGTAAACGCACCGGGGCGTGGCCCCATAAACATACAGGACTGAGAAACCAGCAGACTGGGTCAGGCCAGTTCCCAGGAGAGACACTCCCATAGAGGTGCAGAGCCTGTCCTCGGCCTGTGAAGGAAGTGTCTTGGGAGGAAGCAGCCCCTCCTGGAAAAGGTCACTCAGGCCGTTTCCACAGACAGACCCAGACTGTCCTCTCAGGCCTCCAAGGCTGGAGGTCAGCCCCGGCTGCCGGGCTCAGGAGGAGTGCATCTTCCGAGTCACACAGTGTTGATGTCCTCTGTGCAGAGACAGCTGAACATCATACAGAGACTAGACGTCGCACTCCAGCAAGCCATCCGCCTGGGCGACCCCCAGGTCATCCACGTAGTGTGCGCCACCCAGTGGAACACCTGTCTCCCTCTGCTGCAGCACAACCTGCGGCACCACCTGCGGAAGCCGCTGACCAACATTGCGGAGATCCTGGAGAAGGTGGACAGGTAGCTGGTCCTCAGGATAGTGGGCAGGAGAGGGCCAGGTCAGGGCAAAACCAGCTCATCTTCCCAAAAGTGATGCAAGTCTTCACCAACATCTGCACTGATGCCTATGCCTACACCTACGCCTGAACCTACATCTTCACTATGCCTACATCTACACCAATATCTACACTACACCTACATCTGCGCCTGAATCTACACCTGCACCAACATCTATGCCTACATCTACACCTGAACCTACACCTACACCAACGTCTACGCCTGAACCTACATCTTCACTACGCCTATATCTACACCAATATCTACACTACGCCTACATCTACGCCTGAACCTACACCTGCACCAACACCTACACCTATGCCTACACTATGCCTACATCTGCACCTGAACCTACACCACACCTACACCACACCTACATCTACACTATGCCTACATCTACGCCTGAACCTACACCTACACCTACATTACACCTATGCCTACACCTACACTGCGCCTACGCCTACATCTACGCCTGAACCTACACCTACACTACACCTACGTCTACGCCTGAACCTACACCTGCACCAAATCTACACCTACACCTACATTTATACCTGAACCTATGCCTACACCAAATCTACACCTACACGGACATCTAAACCAACACCTCACGCTACACCTGCACCTGTCCATAATTCTCCATCCACACCTGCACCTGCGTCTCTGCTTATACCTGCACCTGCACCTGTGTCTGCTGCCACGTGCCGTCCCCACTGCCCTGTGCTGGGCTGGCTGTGGCAAAGGTGGGAACAGTAAAGTGGGGGGGCATCCTCAGCACTATTCACTTCCTGTGGGACACTTGGGGGTCTCGTCTGTGAAGAGTTGCACCTCTCTTCAAAGCTGGGATTTTTACTCCTCTTAAAAATAGCCCCTCCTCCTGGAACTCCACTGGGACGTGTGGGGGGTGTGAGGGAGCCCCGGCAATGCCCCCGGCCTCACGGCCCCCTCCCCCTTCACCCCTGGCATGTGCACGACGCTGCTCCTGACGCGTTTCCTCCAGGTGCTCTAGTTCTCCTCTCCTCAGCCTGTGTTTTTTAATTTTAATGACTTCCTCTTTCAAAAATATCCTTTTAGTTTATCTTCATATTTGCCCGATTCTTTAAAAATAGTGTCTTCTAGTTGCCCTGTTTTTCTCTGATAGTTCTTTTTCTGATTAACTTTACTGAGCTATCATTGCATACAGTAGGACGTACACATCTTGAATGTCCCTTTGCTGTGTTGCTTTTAAATTGTGGGTGGGTGTTGGCTGCTGTTAAAAATGACCCGGGCGTTTTCTCTTTCATTCTTTAACGTGGTGAATTGTGCGGGTTGGTTTTCGGGTAGTGAACCAGCTTTGCATTCTCCCCACGGTCCTGACATAGGCCCTTTGTGTGTTGCCAGGTTTGATCTCCTGGTGTGTTAAAGATGCTCACGCGTACGCGCACGAGGACAGTGGCCTGTGGTTTTCTTCTTCTGTCGTGCTCCCGCCGGGTTTTGACATTAAGGTCGTGCTGACTTCATTGACTGAACTGGGAAGGTAGGAAGTACTCTTCCTCCTTTGCCTTCTGAAGGAGTTTGTATAATACTGATATTCCGTCTCTTCAATGTTCGATAGAACCCAGTGGAACTGTCTGGGCCCGGGGACTGTGCTGTGTGGCTGTTTCTGTGGGAGGATTTTGGGGCTGAAACACCCTCTGTGGAGCAAAGGCCAAGGACCTCCTCTGCAGTTGAAGGCACCATCCTTCCTTTTGAAGGGATCTTGGCAGGTCACGCCACGCCCCTCGCGTCTGCTTATCCTGTGGCTCAGGTCTTCTGAGTCCCAGTTCCCCGTCCGCTTGTTCCAACGGTGGCTGAGAGAGGGTGTGAACTCCAGCTCTGACCGTGGGCTTGTTTCCGCTCCCGCAGCTCTCGGCTTTCCCATCGGAAACACCTGGGGTCACTGCCTGCTGGGCCCTCCTTGTCTCCAGTGACGGCTTGTCCCAGGGCCCCTGTGTTTGTTGCTGAAACAGCCCCTCCATCCCCTGCCGCTGCTTTCTCTGCCCTTTCAGTTCTCACCCTCTGTGGGTCTTGCACTTTACAGTGTGGAACACAGCCTTTCAGAGCATGTCCTGTCTCAGCATACAGCTCAGACTTGCTTTTTTAATCAGTGTGATAGTCTCTGCCTTTCATTTGGAGAGTTTAGTCCCTTTGCATTTAGTGGAATTCTGACCTTGTCTCCAGTCTCACTGATTGTTTCCAGCTGTCCCTTCTGTTCTGCTACTGCCGTCTTCTGCTTCCCTGAGGTTCACTGGACTCTTCAGTTTCCTCTGTCGGCTGGCGTGCCCACCACACTCTTGGGGCGGCATGGGAGGGAGCAGCTCTCGGGCTGGCAGTGCACGTGCCCCTTAGCAAAGCCTGTGTGAGGCGGTGCTTCCCGCTCCGCCCGCCCCGCTCAGTGTGGTGTGGTTGTCTTGTTTTCACTTCTGACTGTGTTGTTACAAACCTCATCCTACGGTGCTGTTACTTTGCTTTAGCAGCCAGTGGAGTTTTTAAAGAAAATTTGGGAGAAAAACAGCAGTCCCCTGTGTTTGCCCCCTTCTTCCCAGTGCCACAGGCTGTTCTTCGTTCTCCTTGGACCCGAGCTTCCACCTGCTGCTGTTTCTGCTGCAAGAACGTCCTTCGTGTTTTCCTGTGACGCACAAACGCGTGATGAGTTCTTTCAGGGTTTGTTGCTCTGAAAAGGACCTCACCTCCTGCTCATCTCTGAAGGGTGTTTTCACCAGTTGCTGGACTCTGGGTTTGCAGATGTCTTTTCTTCACACACTTGGACGAGGTTGCTTCCTTTCCTCCCGGCCTTCGTGGTGTCTGAGAGGCAGCTGAGCGATGGGCCATGCGTGCTTCCCCGGTGTGCAGTGTCTTCTCCTCACTCCTGTTTCTCTCATTTTGACTATGGTTTTCCATGGAGCTTTTTTTTTTCAATCCTGCTTGGGGTTTGCTGAGGTACTCAGATATGCAAGATGATATTTTCATCAAATTTTGGAAATTATTGGATATTATTTCTTTAAAGGAATTTCTGCCTCATTCTTGCTCTTTTTTTATGTTAGAACATTGACTATTGTCCCACAAGTCCCTGAGGCTCTGTTCATTTTTTAAAAATCTTTTTGAGTTTGTTCCTGTGATGGGATAATTTCTGTTGGCCTGTTTTCAGGTTCGTGGACCCTTGTTTCCTACCGTCCATCTCCAGTCTGCTGTTGAGCTCAGCCAGGAGCCTTTTCATTTGTCATTACAGCTTTGAGCTCTGGTGTGTCCGTATTTTCCTTACTGAGGTTCCCTGTCTGTTCTCTCGTTAGCAATATTCCTTCAATTTTTTGGAACATATTTATTCTTACAATATCTGCATTAAAGGGTTTACCTGTGAAGCCAGCATCGGGCCCACCTTGCGTCCTGACTGGGGGTCACATTTTCCTGTTTGCTTGTGTGTCTAATAGTGTTTATTGTGAACGGAACATCGGCTGGTGACCTGTGCAGCCCGCGGGCTCTGTCTGTTCCTAGGGGAGCGCTGTCTGTACTCTCATCAGCACTTCAGTTACTGGCTGAGAAGTGGCTTGTCTTTCGGGGGCGTATGTGTCTCTGGAAGGTCACACTCTTCTCCTGCCTGTCTGAGCAGGACTCAGCCTCTTCCCTGCACCCCGACCGTCTCAGCAGGCCCCGACTGCAGGTTTTCTCTGGGTGGGTCTGGAGCAGCAGGCGGCCCTTACTTCTGGGAAGACACCTGTGTGGTCTTGGCTGGACGCGCAGGATGTCAGGGAGGGCACCCAGCTCTCTTCTCTTGGGGGGCAGGCCTGCAGCAGCTGGTCTGACACCCGGTTCCACTTCCCCAGCCTGGAGCAGCCTTCAGGGGCCCTGCCAGCTGTGCCACAGGCGGCGTCCCCAGGCAGGGCCAGCAAGCACGGGCTTGTTCCTAGGTTTCCTTCTCCAGGGCCGCACCGGTTTGGTCCAGCATTATGGGGATTACGCGTGACAGGGACTTGATACATTAGAAGCAGAAGTAACCGAAAATGGCTCACTTCTAAGTCCTTCCCAGCTGGTCCCATTCATCCTGCTTTGGCGGGATGGATTCTCTCGTTTGATCTACTCTGCTTACTCACTGTCACTGTGGCGGCCACTCCAGCCAGCAGTGTTTGCCCAGTGTTCTCAACGCAGGCCATTCCGCCATGTAGACCTCTGTCTGTCTAGGGTCGGCTTGCCTCCCATCATGGATTCAGGGTCAGGCTGCCCAGACCACACCATTCAGTGCTGGGCGGCTCCCATTTTATTGGCTTCCTCTGTCCCTGCCCCAGGCCAGAGGAAGTGGCCCGATCCTGGCTACAGCCTGGACTTCAGGCAGGGCCCGTGGAACCTGGTTCCCTGGTGGGAGTGCAGACCTCAGCCTTGGCAACGCCCAGGGCCCCTTGGTGGGCATCGCTGGTGCTCTCTCCTGCCCACGCCTCCTGCTCCCTCGAGCAGGAAGCACCAGCCTCTGGGCGCCGCAGTCTCCCTGCCTCCTTGTCCCTGAACTTACAGGCTTATAATGTCATGCTTACGCCTCCGTCTTGGCCGAGACTCAGCTTGTGAGTCCTTAGATCTTTTATTTGACCAAATTTGTTGGACTTGCTAGTGTCTGTGTCCAGGGCTCAGGGCGCTGCTGGTGAAAGGGCAGACGGTCTTAGGCACGCACGTCTCCGGCCCCGCCCACCCACGGGGCCAGCAGAGGTGGCGGCCGGAGCAAACGCCGGGTGGCGGCGCCAGCCCGTGGGGTGTGGAGGCCCTTCTGTGCAGGGGTGTGTGCCCCGGCCCATGAGACAGAGTGCGGGGCAGAGCAGAGAGAGCCCCACCTGTGGCCGGGCCTAGGCTGCAGGTTGTACTGAACTCACTTGTCGGCAATGCCAAGAGTCTCCTGGAGGAGCGCCAGGCGAGGCACTGCCTGCCCCGTGCTCACCGAGCCCCCACCTCGTGCTGGTGCAGGTCTCTTTCACTTCCCAGCCCCAGAGCACCAGCTGGGCTCTGAGGCCTCCTGTGGTCACTGGGGCTCCCTCTCTTGTGCCCTGTGGGCCCTCCCACTCGGGAGGGCAGGACCTGAAGGAGGCTGGACAGCCCGGTGCCGGGGTCCCCTGCGTGTGCCAGGGGTCCTGTCGGGCGCGGTGCCCTGACCTGTGTGGCCCACAGCCTCGTGGTGACACTTCGCTGCCATGTACACATGGAGGTGGCGTGCATCGAGGAGGACGAGGACCGGCTGGAGCCCGCCATGGCGCACCTGCGGAAGGCCCTGCTCCTGGACAGCCTGGGCCACCACCAGGATGAGCTCCTCATGGCCCTCAACCGCCTGCACCTCTGCACCATGCTGTACCAGACCCCTGAGCGTGCCGAGGACAAGGCCACCATGGCCATCGAGCAGGTGCCAGCCCTGGGACCCTCGAGCCTTGGTGCCTGTGGGAGGCAGGTCGGGAATGCACCCCATGCAACACCCTGCTCTCCCTCGCAGGCCAAGAAGGCTATGCCCAAGGACAGCGTGCGGAAGAAGCGGGCTCTCCTGGTGAAGGCAGGCCTGGCCCTGGCCCCTGACGCCTTCCAGACTGTGCTGGACAGTGAGAACGCGACCAAAGGTGGGAGCGCCTGCCCACACTGCGCAGAGCAGACCACCCTCCACTACGGGCCAGACCCCTCCCCTGGCCTCCGCCCACACGGGCCCTGATGTATGGCAGCCGGCCTCCAGAAGGCGGGGAGGGGTCTCCTCTCCCCGCCCTGTGTGACAGAGCCCCTCACACGGGGGTCACATGGCAGGATTCCCCATCACACAGTCTGTGGCCAGCGTCTGAGACCACAGTGTCGGCAGGGCCGGTCTCCCAGGCCTACACCCAGCCATCTGTCCCCTGTGCCTGGTTTCCTGTGTCCAGTTTCGCCTTGGAGGACACCCACTGTAATATATCAGAGCCGCCCTAATGACCTCATTGTAATTTGACTTTCCCCGTAAGACCCCATCTCCAAACCAGGTCATATTCTGAGGTTCTGGGGGTTAGGGCTTCCTCTCTTTTGGGGGCACACTTCGCCCCACTCCACTGTCCTGGGCATAAGGACAGGGCCCCTGGGCTTTTCTGCGTTACCCCACATGTATGGACTCCTCACAGATGGCAGCTTTTCACCGTCTTCTCAGGGCCCCGCCTGAGGTACCCCCACACAGGCAGCTTTGGGCCCAGGTGACCCCAGCCGTCCACAGGCAAGAGCCGCCAGAGGGAACCCAAGGTCTCCGTCTTGTGGACCTGGGACTGGGGGGAGAGGGGTCCCGCCCCATAGTGGGAAGGAGGACGGCTCTGGGACGTGACTCTCGGTGGGTGAGTGACTGTGGCTGTTGTGCGTCGCCAAGCCTGGGCCTCGGCGGTGCCGCCCTGTGCTTCCCTCTGGTCCTGACGGTGTGCGGGGCCGGGGCCTGTGGGCAGTTACCCTGGACACACTGAGCGTTTTTGGCGCATTTCCTTCAGCGAGGGGTCAGCCGGAGGACCTCGCCGGGCCTGGGGCTTCATGGCGGCCCCATGAGTTGGCTCCTGGAGGTGAAGGGCAGTGGGCCCAGGCCTGGGTCCCAGGGCCGCTGTGCTGGCCGCCCAGCGGGGGTGGCGGGGTGCGGCTGCGCTCTGGACAGGAGCGCGTCTGCCTGGAGAGGAGCCTGCACGGCTACCAGAGCACAGCCCTGCGGGCGGGGGCAGCAGGTGTTGGGTGGGGCTGGCCTGCTGGGTGGGGATGGGGTCCGTCTGTCCCAGTGTCAGTCCCCACAAAGTTAGTGCTCCCATCAAGAGACGAGGCACGTCTGGGACCCTGCATGGTGTCCCAAGCTGGGGCTTCGGGAACCCTCCCCAACATGCCGTGTCAGGGCCCACGCCCCCTCCCCTCAGTCTCCATCGGGAAGAACAGGGGCCGGTTCACCTACCTGTTCGCGAAGGCACGGCACCACTCCCTCAGCGTGGACAAGGCCACTGGGCACCTCCGGCGCCTGGGGAACCAGAACGCCAAGGAGAGGTGAGCGGGTGGGCGGGGCGCCTGGGCCCAGGCTGGGGTGTCTGTCCGTCTCCAGGCCTCTCCTCGCAGAGGCCGGGGGTCCCAGATGGTTCTGAATGTGCCGCGCGTCTGTGCAGAATCCAGATCTGGGCCGAGCTCACCAAGGTGGCCCGGAAGCAAGGTGTGTGGGACGTGTGCCGGGCGGCCAGCCGCTTCTGCCTGCTGTATGACAGTGCCAAGGTGAAGAAGCCGGCACGGGTGGGGAAAGGTGAGCCCCCCACCCGCGGAGAGCAAGGTGGCCCCGGGCAGAGGGCGGGGAGGGGGCGGGAGGCCGGCTCCCCCATCAGCAACAGGTCTGGGGGGGAGTCCAGCATTCAGGTCCCTGGAAGTGATGGTCTCATGGACGGTGAGGACCCGGGGACATGCCAGGGGTCCCAGAAGGCCCTGGGCGGCGGGTATTGTAGATGTGGCAGGGCCAGACCGCAAGGGCAAACCAAGAACCGAGTCATCGGGGATTAGCTGGAGACTGGCCATGGCCAAGCTGGCTCTGGGGACACCCTGCCACCCTGCAAGGCCCAGCCTGCTTGGGGAGGTCTCCTCCAGCCCCTCCTGAGCAAACCACCCACCTCCCAGAGATGCCCACCCCCACCCCCGGCTGGGGAGGGGCTCGGGCTCTGAGGCCCCGCCATCTCCTAGGGAAGAAGAGGAGGGACAGAGCCGGCTCCAAGCAGGACTCTGGGGGCGCGTCGGACGCCACCCTGCAGAGGCGGGTGTCCCCCAGCCTGCTGCGCGTGTTCGCGGAGGTGGGCTTCATCAGCGCAGAGGTGCGTCCCCACACGTCCCTCAGTCCTCCGAGGTCGCTGGCATCCGCACCGCCCTGGCATGGAGCCGCTGAGGCCGTTCGTCCTCTTACTCCACCTCTGCTCCTGAAACAGGCTGTCTATTAGCTTTCCTGGGTTCTTGGGAGGAAAACAGACATCAGAAGTGTATTGTGTTGTGTGTTGATATAAAGTGTCCTTGGAAACAGTTTCTGAGCTGGGACTCCAGTCACAGAGCTGCTCAGGCTGATGGTTACCAGGGCTGGGGTATGGTTTGCGCAGGAATAGACTTCACAGCACTTCAGACCAGGCGTGTTTCTGATCTAATCCCGTGGGAGCCAGCTGAAGGCTTCTCCCAGGGCCTTGGCCGGGGGTCCCGGCTGCCTCCCACAGGGATCTGGTTCCCCGCAGGGGGCACGCGGAGACCTGGGGCCTGAGCTCCCAGCCGCGGCACCTGGTGTGGAGCTGGCCTTGGTGACATTTTGTAAGTTCGGGATTCTCGGAGCCACTTTAGGTTGTTTCCTTTGGGGGTTGGCGGGTCACTGGCTGAACACTCACCAAGGGGTTCGGTGAGGATCTGCTGAATGCCTCTCGGGTGCCAGGCCTGTGCCGTGAGCGGGGCCAGGGGACCACAGAGCAGAGCCCTGAGCTCAGGGAGCCAGCAGCTGGGAACGGAGCCAGTGTCAACCCGGGGACAGGCAAGGCCACCCGCCACCTCTCCTTGGTCCATCAGCCTGTGACCAGTGGTCTCAGCAGAGCAGTGCTTCAGTGCAACCCATGAAGCGACCAGGGCCCGGCACGTGGCTGGACACTTGCTTGTGTTGAGATGACGTTTGTGTCCCAGGCGGCAGCCTGGGCTGAGCTCCTGAAAAGAGCCCTTCTCTCTGAGACGTGGCATTTCCGGGAGAAACGACCCTTCTCCCGGGTGTGTGGGGGAAGGAGCGGGTGTCACCTGTAGGGAAGGTGCTTGGATGCATCGCAGGGCCTCCCCGCCTGGTGTTGGTCCATGCTACTGTGACCTTTCTGCCACTCACCTCCCTTGCAGGCCACCATCCACCTGCTGCAGGCAGAAGGCGTGCAGCTGAATGATCACCCCACGCCCCCTGAGGACCTGAGCCAGCACCCGATGGGCTACACGCCCGAGTCCCCCGAGGACAATGCGGAGTGGATCATGTACCGGTAGGTGGCTGCCACGTGGCTGTCCCTGTGGCCCTGCTTGTGCGTGGCTGGGGAGTGAGGCCAGGGTGGCGGGGCCACGTGCAGACTGGAACGCGGTCAGGTCACTCCCACCCGTAGCTTTGCTGTAGCCCATGACCTCAGAGTGGTCTTGACATTTTCAAAGTTTGTAAAATAAAATAGTGAAAAGCATGCAGCAGAGACTTCATGCAGCTCACAAAGCCCGGGGTACTCACTGTCTGGCCCTAGTCTGAGGCCGGCAGACACCCCCGCGCCCGCACTGTGCGCAGCGGGGGCCGGGGAGACGGGGCACGGGCCGGGGCAGAGGTGGGCGGGCAGCCTGCGGGAGCGCGTCCTCAGACGGCGGAGCCCGGGGAGGCGTGGGGCCAGGGGCAGGGCGAGAAGGGTGTCCGCTCTGGGAAAGGGCCGGATGGTCTGAGTCTCTCGGTAGGGGCACAGCGGGCAGCCCAGCAGGGGCGCCGTCCTGACGCCAGGTTCCACTGCCGGTGTCACGTGCCTGTCTGTAGTGCCTGTCTGGTAAGGGTCTGCTTCCAACATGAGCGCTTCCCCGTGACCCCTGCAGGACCTGGATAGAGGGCCTGTCGCAGCAGGCCATGAACAGCTGGCTGCGGTCCGCTGAGATCGGGCAGGAGATACAGGAGGTGTGGATCGTGCAGAACGCCGTGGTCTATGTCCTGAACCACAACCACCACCTCATCATGGCCGGACGGCAGAAGGAGCTTGTGGACGCCCTGTACCACCTCCTGGGCATCGTCAAGGCCACGGGCCACGGCGGGTGGGTGAGGCTGGCGGGCTTCCTCCCAGGGGAGCCACTGGTCCCTCCCCATTTTTAGTGCTGTCCTCCCAGTGCCGCGCCAGGACGCCCTCGCCCAGCGCTCACTAACTGTGCACCCCTGAGCCAGATACTCCCCTCCCTGAGCTGCAGGGCGGCCTGTGGGGACTGGCAAGGCTCTCAGGATCCCTCGCACCTAGGATCCTGGCAGCATCCCCATCATGCAGACTCTCCGTCTGTCACACTCTGTTCCAGACAGATCCCAGGGAAGGCTGGCTGAGGCCCGGGTCCCGCGGGAGCAGGGTGGAGGCCAGCCTCAGTCTGGTTTGGGGAGGGCTGAACATCAACGTCTGAGTGTCTTCTCATCCAGACGCGTGTGAGCTTGGGGGAAGACTGATGGTCGCAACCACCTGAAATGAGGAGTGTGACAACGTCCAAGGTTTACCTGACTAGGATGCATTTTTCAAGTCCTCTTTGAGTTTGTTAAGCTTTTAGCCTAAACAATCAGGTTTAAAATTTTTCACCCTCCTCTTCGTGTCTTCCAGAGACCCCCTGGTGCTGGTCACGCTGTGCAATACTCTGGCTCGTGGCTTGATCAGCAGCTGGATCCCAGCCCCAACACCAGAAAGGTCCAGACGGCAAGTGCGCACCAACCCACTGCATGCTCCGCTGGACGGGGAAGCCGCCTCTGAAGTCAGGACCGCACTGGAGGTGCGCCCTGCGCGGGGGGCGGGCTGGGGGCAGGAGACCCAAGCTCCAGGGGGGGCAGCTGAGGAAGGGAGCCGCAGGGCGCTGGGTGAGGAGGGGGTGGGGAATAGGCATTTTTCTAAAAACAAGGAGACCAGACAAGGAAGCGTGAGCGGCAGTGTCAGGGGCACATCCCTCAAGGCCCAGAGCAGGGAAAACCCAGGCTGACAGCAGGGCAGGAACGCTGCCACGCCACAGTCAGGCCGAGGTGCCGACGGCCTCACGGTGACCCGTGGGGTCATCCATCCCGTGCCTGGACGCCCGGTGCTGTGGACTGTGTGCTGGTCATCTGCAGGAGAGGAGGGCTGTGGGGGTGTTGACAGTGTCTGATGGCCCATCACCCAGCTCTAGTAAACGGGAAGGAAAGAAGTTCCTTAGTGCACCTGAGGGGTGCAGAGCCTCCAGCCGACCGAGTGTGGGCCAAGAGGAGCCCAGGCGAGAAAGGCCACCGCCGCCCACAGCTGTTTAACCCGTAAAACTGCGACTAGCCTGGCTGCAGGTCCTCGGGGACCCCGGGTGTGTGGGGGTTACAGCGTGGCCTGGCTGAGCGCTCCTGCAGAGACGCCATGGTGCCAGACCCCCGAGGTCGCAGCCCCAGCTGGTGGGCCCTTGGCGCTGGGGCCTTCCCCGGCCCCAAGCTGGTGCCTGGTTAAACCTCCCTGCAATCTGGACCCAGAGCCACGTCCACTTATTTGTAAAGGTCTGGGCCTTGGCTCAGGCTTCCCTGTTTGGATTCAGGTGTCGGGAGCACGGCACGTTTGTTGCAGGTCTGCGAGTTTGCCCTGACCCTGGCCAGCGGGTTGGGGCCTGAGGAGGCCATGCCCCTCTGTGCCTGGCAGCAGCTCGTCGCCACCTGGGTGAAGACCATGCAGCTGCTGCAGCAGCAGGTCTGGCCACGGCTGGGCGCCGACGAGCAGGTAGGTGTGCGCGGGCTGGGGGCAGGTCCAGGCTGGAGGCACGTGCAGCAGGCATCGGGCCCCGTGCTAGTGTCCAGCATCCGGGAGTGCTGGGGAGGCTGGTCCCCCCATACCAGGGCCTGCAGGGTGAGCAGAGCAGACACCCCTCAGGCTCCAGCCTGGAGGACGGCACACAGTAGGGCTGCAAAAGTGTTTCCCTCCGGGAAGATCTGTCCCCTGAGAGATGGGGCATGAGGCCTCCTTTACCTGCCCAGGGCCGCAGCGTCCCCTCCTTCCTCCAGCCAACTGGCCACTGTTCGAAATGTCCACCAAGAGCCACTCTGCTTCTGGGGTGCTATCCACCCTCAGTGACATCTCAGTGGAGATGCAGCCAAGCCAGAGGGTCCCAGGGGCCCCCTGAGCCATGAACACAAGGCCGTGGGGGTGAGAGGCTAGGGCAGGAAGCAGGGACCCGAGGGGAGAGGGCGGGGCCAGCCCCGCGGCCTCTGCTCTCGCAGACACTGGCTCCCACTGTGCACCAGCTGGAGCACTGGTTCAGATGAGAGGAGAGGCAAGGGAGGCAGGCAAAGTGGCGGGCAGTGGGGTGGGCACCTGAGCCTCTAGGAGTGAGGGCCAGGTTGGAGCAGGGCCGGGGTGGCGGGCCCGCAGGCAGAGGGCCACCCACTGTGCCCTCCACCTGCCTCCACCTCTGGCTGGGTCAGCCAGCCGCCCAACCTCTTTATTACATGGAGAGGTGACTGGAGATAAACGTTTACACAAACAGCTCTGATTTTCACCAGAAAGTAATCATCACAGGGTCCAAGTCCCGAGAGGTGCAGACTCTCCCCAGCACCCTTGGCCTTTGGACCTTGTGCACTTCCTTCTCATCAGAGCACCGAGGACATCAGCTCGGTGACCAGAGTTCTCACGGCTCTGGAGATGTACTCCTGCAATGGCCTGGGCCTCATGGACTTCACGGTGCCCCCCTTGGCTGAGGTAGGTGTCCCCCCCATGTCACATTCCCTCAGATGTCACCTCCCCCACAGATGTCACTGTGCCCCCAGGTGTCACCTCCCATCTCCCCCTGATGTCACCTCTCCCAGGTACCACCATCCTCCCCTTGGCCCAGGTAGGTGTCACCACATGTCCTGAGAGGCACACCGAGGGCTGTGCCCCGACATCGCCCCCAACCCGAGGTGCTTGTTTAAACCCCGCTGCTCAGACCGGGAGTGGGATCGAGGGCCTCACCCGAGGGCCAGAATCCAACCCACAGCGCAGCGCAGCACCGCCGCCTCCCCGCCGGACCGCACTGTCCCCTCAGGGCCCCGAGCCTCGTTTCTGAGGCTTTGTCCGTGCTTCTCCACACTCAGCGCTCAGAGCAGGCAGGGCTGCCCTGCGTGGCAGGAAGGCAGTGTGGACTCTGGGGCATTTGTCCCTTCCAGCCAGCCCCGCCCCAGACTTAGCTGCAGTTAACGCTGGTGACTCGGCCTGGAGAGCAGGCCCTCGTGAGTTGTGGTCTGTTTACAGTGACGTCACTAGGTCACCTCATCAGGTGACGACTGAGCCACATGTGAGGTCGGGCAGATCCAGCGGCACCTGTGGTCAGACCCTCACTCCTCTAACCGACGCCCCATTCTCCACCCGGGCAGCTGGTGAAGATGGCCTCCGAGTGCAGCTGGTCGGACCCCCTGGTGGAGGTGCAGACCCTGACGCGACTGACTCACTTCACCTACATGTCCCGGGACCACGAGGCCACCATGGCGTGCTCAGAGAGGGCCATCCAGATGGGCATCCGGTGGCTGCGGGCCCTCAGTCCGTAAGTGACCCTGGCCCCGTGCTGGGGGGTGAGCTGCCCCGGGGACCGTGAGGGAGAGGGCTGACTGGCCTGGAGACAGAAGTTCGGGTGCCTGGTCTCCCGCTATTTCTGAGCACGAGGCTGGTTCCAGTTTGCTGCCTTCACAAGTATTTCTGCAGTAAAGGTTGTTTTCCGGGGGGCTCTTCTTTTTGGCTCATTTCCCAAGTCTGCTTCCTGAAAGACAGACTCCTGGGCCCAAGGCCCAGAAGACTCCCACTGTGACCAGACAGCCAGGCTGGTGGCCGAGGCCAGAGCCAAGGAGTGCTGCCCAGCCCCGCGTCCCCAGCCTCGGGCCTCGCCCTGGCCTTGCGGGTGTGAGGCTGCTGGCTGCGTACGCGTGACTGGGACGGGGCCTAGCTCCCACTTGGTCAGCATCCCAGCAACAGCGTCCTGGGGACACCCACCTCACCACAGCGGCAGCTCTGGGACTTGCATGGGATGCACCTGGGGGTGCTTGGGGGCTGACAAGGACCTCTCTGTCGTCACCGCTGCCTGCATGGGGCCGGGGCCACAGGCTGCATCAGTGCCCAAATAGGGCCAGGTGCATGACAGCCCCCAGGAGCCCTGCCCACCCCTCACTTTTCCCACAGCAGCTCCCAGGCAGGTCCCACTGTTCCCACGTTGCAGACCAGCAGACAGAGGCAGGCAGAGGCTGCGGCACTCGCCCGAGGGTGGTGGGAAGATTGGAGCCAGGCATCTGGCTAAGTCGGGAAGCTCCCAGTGAAAGCCAGGGTAACTGAAGCACGACCACCGTAAGGCCTCAGGCCCAACCATTCCTCCAAAAATAGTTGTTTTTGCTCAACATTCCCCAATGAGAAGGACTTTGCTTCCAAAAGGAAAAGCTTCCAACCTTTTCGACGTCTGGCCCCAGCCTTGCTGTGGGGGCCGAGGGCCAGGTCCCCAGCTGTGCAGCCCCAGGACAGCAAGGGGAGGCCGGCTGCGGCCCCGGCCCCTCGGGGGCCCGGCATGTGGAGACGGGGAAGGCGGAGCCACAGTGCACAGAAGCCTGGCTACCTGGCAGGACCCCTGGCACTGGGCAGGGAGGCCACAGGGTCCTCACTGGGCACCGGCCTCCAGCGAGCTCTGCAGAGCTCTGCCTGACGGCCAGCAGAGGAGCCTTCCCAAAGTTCCACTCTTACATGTAAGCTGAGAGCCCGCAGGCTTTTGAGAAGGCCCCCAGCTTTAAAGAGAAAACCAACTTGAAGAAATAGGGAAAATTACTCTGGATGGAACTGTCGACTTTAATAACGTGACCAGTTATTTCACTAGCAAAGCAGAGGAGCTGCAGTTAGGGAAATGCAAACTTTAGTGACCACAGGCAAATCCAGAACACAAGGAGGGGAGCTCGCTTTTATAGGGGGCAGGGGAGTCATGAGGGGCTGTGATACCCAGGGTCTGCTGGAGGGGCCGGGGTCCGCAGGATGGAGGCTTCCTGTGGGCTGTGAGGGTCTCTGACTAGCCGGGCCGCACGTGATGCCGCTGGACAGCGAGCGGAGGTGGAGGAGGCGGCCTCTCCCGTCGGGGGTAGCTGACCTGCCTGGAGGGCGCGAGGCCTCCCCATCCCGACTCCGACTTTAGCTGAGGTTTCTGTAATTAATTCCACTGGACAGATTACACAATGATCTGAAGAAGCATTAGGAAAAAATGTATTGTTGTGGGAAAGGAATAAGGATCAAAAAGAAAAGAACTGAAGATCTCTTGAAAATTAAAGAGTTAATTTCTGAAGTTGAAAATAAATTCAGGGAAGAGTTAGAAGATACAGTGTGAGGATGTCTCAGAAAAACGAGGAGGAGGACAGAAAATGTGACAGAGAAGCCAGAAGACACACAGAAACAGTCCTGGAGCCCAACATCCAAAGCCTGCAATTCCAGGAAGAAAGAAGAAAGGGGGGGGCCCAGAGCGAAGGGCGCCGTCTGCTGACCGGCCCCCGCCAGTGACCCACAGGGACAGTGAGGAGACTCACCCCACACGCGCCAGGTCGCGGCCGGCGAGGACGGCAACCCACAGCTTTCAGAAGAAGGCCGTCGCCTGCGCCGTGGAAGCACGAGTCTTCTCAGGAACCATCACTGGAAGCTGGAAGAAAGCGGAGCATTCTAAGGAGAAGTAATTTTCAGCATATGATTCTAACTCGGCCAAGCTTTCCAGTATCCAGGTAAAGAAAGCTATTATTAACAGAGACGGGGGCCAACAGAATGCATTTGCCACACACCTGTTCTTAGGAAGTTATCTGAGGTTAGGCTCCAGAGAAACAAGGAAGTAAAGCAGGGGAGGGAAACTTTGGCCGCTGCGAACAGCGAACAGCGGAGGGGGTCAGAGAAGCGCCGCCGCGGCGGGGTGGAGGGGAGGCCCTGGGGTGGGCAGGGACGGAGGAGGACCTGCTGTTGGGAAGAGTCTGCGGGGAGGTGCGGTTATGGAAAGGAGCACACGGGAGGGAACGCAGACTAGAGATTCCAGGAAACACAAAAGTGACGCACGGTTGCCGCAGGGAGGGCGCTCCCGTGAGCACGGCGTTTGCCAATGTCCGGCGTCAGGGTCAGGGTCTGACAAGGCTGATCTGTGCTCACTTAAGCAGATATAAACGGTACCAGTTCTGATGCTTTAGTGGTGGAATGTGGCAAAAGAGGAGAGGGTGGGGTCCTAACACCTCCCCTGGGAGGGCGAGTCATCGGTGTGACAGGCTCAGGGCCCACAAGACATTTGGAGGCACAGAGAGAATGCACCGTGACGTTAGCAGTGCTGTCGGGGGCCGTGTTGGTAAGTGGGGGGAAGGGCAGGGGGGTGTCTGAGGAAGCCGAGCTCCCGCCTGTCACTGTGAGGATCCCGCAGGAGACGTTTACAGTTCAGGAGCTGGGAAGTCAAGGTGGAAGCCCGTTTTCTTTAGGTGAGCACGCGTCTGCTGAAGACAGGCTGGATGTTCCTGGCAGCAGGGCTGCGAGGGGAGTTAGTCTTAACCACAGTTACTCTTAATCACCTTGATTAAAATGCAAAAGTTAGTTTTAAAAGAAAGGAACTATGTTCCTACCAGAGGCTTCAGTGCAGAGTGTGGCTGTGCCAGCCTCCCCTAACTGGGTGAAAACTGGTTTCACGGCCTGTTGAGTCGCCACCGAGCTCATCAGGCCAGGGCGACACGGGCCCTGGCCCAGCGTCCTTTCATCAGTGATTCTTAAGTTGACTTTCATTTCAACACAGCAATTCTTGCAATAAAATTGGCTAAACATGTAAATGCTGACATGTGGTAACGGAGAGGGAAGGTCATCCAAGACGGTAAAATTTGATTTTCCTTGGTAGACCACTGTCGCCCTCCCCTGGTGGTCAGTGTCAGTGTGCTCAGCAGGTCATCCCTCTGCCGTGGGTTTGGCTGTGGATTTGAACTTTTGTTCACCCACACTGAGCCCCTGTATCCAGGCACGGTGCTGGGTGCCAGGACACCGGAGGGACAGAGGCGAGGGGTATTTCTCCTGCTGGCCACCCAGAGCCCTGGCCCTGGCCACCGACAAACAGGACACATGCTCAAATTCTGCCACGTGGCTTGTACTGCAGGCAAGTCACCCTTTCTGTTGTAATTGCACACGCTGCAAGTTTTTATGCTGGTTTTTTTCTATTTTGCAAGTTATGTAAAGAAACTGTGGAATTGGGCACAAAGAACTTTCATGATGGCATCTCACAATAACGGGAAGTTTTTTCAGATCTTGGGAAAATAGCGCAGTTATCAGGCAATTAGTATGCTCAGCTCTGGCTGTTTAATTACCAGAATCATTTCCGATTCTACACTATTCACGTGAAGGAATATATGTCAGTAAGGAAGTTCCTGTAGACCCCTCGAACAGACAAAGTAGACTGAGAGTCTGACAGTACTGGGGCCCTCCTACTCTGTTCAGCGTTGTTCGTTAACATAACCTTCCCCAGTGTGGGGTCCTCATATGAATTTAAAAGTCACTTTTCCTGCCAGTTCTGGCCGTGACGCACAGCGGATCTCAGACTTGCACCGTAAAAACTGAAACTTGACCAGACGTGCGAAGCAGTTGTCCTCAGGCGCGGCCGGCAGAGGGCGCAAGGCGGC